GGGGGGGGGGGGGGTGGGGGGTATCTAGGGGGTGGGGGTGAAAAAACTTGAGTTAAAATTTCATATAAATCTTCACCTTCTTTGGGAAAAATGATTCCTCTTCATATACTTTTTTTGGACCTTTTCTCTTCTTCTTCAAACAACTTAATATTAGTCTTTTTAATTTCTAGTACTACAACTTCATGCATGAACTTTTAGTCTAGGAAAAAATAATTAATTCTCCTTTTTTTTTTATAATTTTATCTAAGTTTTTTTTATTATTTTGATATATGGCTTCTTCAATGAACAATTGGCTTGGATTTTCACTTTCACCACATGAAGAAGTACTCACATCACAACAAAGTTCACATCAAGAATGTTTTGATCTAATGACTTCTCATCATCAACATCATGATCAATCAACAGTAGTACTTCCTTCTTTAAATGTTGTACCTCATGATAATACCCCTTTTGGTATTTTTGAAGCTTTCAATAGAAATCATCATCAATCACAAGGTGAGTAAGTTATATTAATTGATTGTTTCATTTTCTTTAATATTTTTGGGACATTTCTTGAACTATAAACCCTATATGACGGTAGTGCTCGTCTTGAACTTTGACTCTCCTTTTTGAGTTGGTAAGGCTCATGTCAATGAGGAAATACTAAAAACCCTAACTCTTCAACAAAAAGGAGAAAAGATTAAGAATATTGATGGTGTTTTTGTTTCAAAAATATGGTTTTTAATCAAGGAAAAAAATAATACGGTGCACTAAGCTTTCACTATTTTTTTCCTTCTTATGACATAGAGATACATATATCTGACCTGCAGTCAGAGATTCATTAGGCAATAAGTGTCAAAAACATGACTTTTTGATGTTGACTTGTTGGAGGATATTTTCCATTTTATTTTAAGTAATTATACGATGTACTAAAGTTTTCGCTATATATCTGATGTTGCTGATTTTGTTTAGTGATCCTACTTGTTTTCATTAACATGACTTTTTAAGTAAATTTCAAGTTGTTCTTGTTAGTGAATATTTTTTATTTTTAAAAAAAATAAAAAAATTCAATCCTTTTGGCTATATTTGAGATTTTATTTTTTTTGTATGTAGATTGGAACTCTCATGATACAAACTACAAGACTACATCAAATATGTCTATGTTAATGGGAAATTCATGCAATAGTCAACATCTTGAAAATAATCAAGAACCACCAAAGCTAGAGAACTTTCTTGATATTGGTGAACAAAAGCTTCAACAAGTCTGTAATAACAATAACAATAATAACGACTACAATATCTATTGTAGTACCCCTAATAATATTAGCGAAAATAACGCTAATAATATTATAGGGCTTTCAATGATCAAGAATTGGTTGAGAAACAACCCTAACTCCACTACCACCACCACTACTACCCCGTCATTATTACAAGATGATAAGAAGGAGGGCGATGTTGTGGGGGTAGCCGGTGGTGGTAGTAGTGGTACTAATGCACAATCGTTGTCACTTTCTATGAGCACGGGTGGAGATGGAGGTGGAGAGAATAGTTGTTCGTCCGAAAACAAACAAGAGATTGTGAATGGAAATAATGGTAGTACTATTGATGGACAAATAAGTGGTGCAATTGTAGCACCAAAGAAATCTATTGATACTTTTGGCCAAAGAACTTCTATCTATCGCGGTGTTACAAGGTAAGATACAATTGTTTAATTTCATCCCTTTTCAAGTCATTTATCATAATAGAGTGAAGGATGTTCATTCGAACAATATAGAAAATTAAGTTGTGTAAATACTACAAAATAATACTTTGCATATAATTTCTATTTTTTTTTATTTAAATTGTTTTGTGTGTATTTATAGGCATAGGTGGACTGGGAGATATGAGGCACATTTGTGGGATAATAGTTGTAGAAGAGAGGGACAAACTAGAAAAGGAAGGCAAGGTATGTTTATTATATTTCATTTAATTTGTCTCCCACTAAATATATTATATTTATTTTTTCATTCATTTTATATATTTTCAAAATACTAAACTTGGATGTGTCTTAATTATTCATTTTTTTTCTTTTTCTATTTCATGGTGTGATGGATGGACTCAACATTTGTAAACTTGTTGCAGTTTATTTGGGTAAGTTATAGATTAATTACTTCCTTCTAACTATTATCTTGGTAAATATTATTTAGATGACATGATAGTTATATTGACACTACATTACTAAATTATGAACTTCGTTGCCAGTCTGTCTGTATTTTGCTCGTAGTTAACAAAAAATTATCGCTAATTTATTGCTAAATAGAATTAGCGATAAATTTTGTTGTTTGGCTATAAAATTTATCTATCGCTAAATCGAGTTTTTTTAGTAGCGAATATACTTTTTTGTGTAGCTGATTTATTTTTCATTTAAATGTTTTATAGGAGGATATGATAAAGAAGAAAAAGCAGCTCGTGCTTATGATTTAGCTGCACTTAAGTATTGGGGTCCCACAACTACCACTAATTTCCCAGTAAGTACATTTAAATTTTCTAATTTTTTTACTTTAATTTCATAGGAATTTTGTCTAGTTAGTGGGAGGACATTTAGTAATGCCAGCAATCTAATGATGTTTGATTTAGACGCTTCGTAAAATTGTACTGATCTACGAGAGGAGCTGATAGATGAGTACGTTTTTCTTTTCGGTCCAACCTATATAAGGTGTTGCTCGCTTTCTTTTGGCTATTAGTGGCTAATGCATTAGTCGATATTTCTACGTGCTCCTCCTTGCCTCCCACTTAGAAACTCACAAGGCACCTAATGTTATGCTGTTTGTAACGCTTTGGTTAAGAAGGTTACTGTAGTTTAAGTTAATGGATAGATTCAGTTAGTGAAAGTTCTTTTCAACTCAATCAATATCAATAAAATATCGTGATTGCTTAGATTTGAAAGAGTTTAACAAAAGTCATCTCACTTATTTCGTACGTAAATATTTTATTTTTTGTGAAAATTTTCAGATTAGCAACTATGAGAAAGAGCTTGAAGAAATGAAGAATATGACTAGGCAGGAATATGTTGCATCTTTAAGAAGGTACATTTTTTATTTTTTTTATTACATTAAGGAAAAAATATATTATAAAACTTTTCAAGAAAATATAAGAGATAAAAATGTAATATTTATATTATATGGTTCTTCATATATATAGGAAGAGCAGTGGTTTCTCTCGTGGTGCATCGATTTATCGAGGCGTTACAAGGTACGATACAATTAATTTCATGTCATTCATACTATAGTACTCCCGACTCCTAAGGTGATGGGGTTTGACTTGACTCCTATCTGTCTAGTGTCTATAATATCATTCGAATAATCTTTCTTCTTTCTCGAATCGTGTTTCATATGTGTGTCATATATTACCTTTAAGGACTAGAATCAGACTTTTAAACAAGAATTATTTTTTTCGATAGTATTAATAATTATTTAAGTTTGTAATTTTTAAATATTTTTTGTGTAATATTATAGGCACCATCAGCATGGAAGATGGCAAGCAAGAATTGGTAGAGTTGCTGGAAACAAGGATCTTTATCTTGGCACCTTTAGTAAGTGCTCCTAATTATTTCCCTAAAACCATTTTATTGGCGCGAACTGAGTCAAATTTGAACGGATCAAAATATGTCAGATTAATAAAAGATCGTATAATTTGATCCGATCGAAGTTTGCTTGAGTCAGAAGTTAAATAACATGTCATAACTCAATTTGCTTAGCACATGACTCAAATATCCCCATATTTGATTTTGCATGTGTTGATTTGGGCTACATTTTGACCCAATAATTTGATAGGTCATCTAGGATATTGAAGAAAGTACTCAACAAACGAGCTAGTCATAATTCAATTCGTTTAAACTTCGATATATTAGTATTTTTTCCACCTAACTAAATTTGGTTTTTTTTTTAGGTACACAAGAAGAAGCTGCTGGGGCTTATGACATTGCAGCAATCAAATTCCGTGGACTAAATGCCGTGACCAATTTTGAAATTAATCGATACGACGTTAAAAGCATACTAGAAAGCAGCACGTTGCCCATCGGAGGGGCTGCCAAACGTCTCAAGGACGTTGAGCAAGCTGAAATCGCGTTAAATTATCAAAGAGCAAGTCAAGAAAATATCGGGACTACTCATCTCATGAATGGTTCAATGAGTACCTATGGCGCGGGCCATTGTTGGCCTAACATCACTCTTCAACAAGCTCAACCTTTAAGTGCGATGCATTATAATAACCCTTATAATAGTCAACAAAGGTTGTGGTGCAAGCAGGAAGTACAAGATCATGATTTGACTAGTCAAAATTTTCAAGATTTTCAATTGGGAAACGCGCACAATTATCTAATGGGATTGGATAATTCTTCTTCATCGTCAATGGAACAAAATAATGTTACGTATCATCAAGGTGTTGGATATGCAAGTAATAATAATAATCATCATGGTGGTGGTGGATTTGTGTTGCCACAATTGAATGGATCATCATATGGTGGAGAGAATGATAATGAAGTGAAGCAATTACAACTTGGTACTCATGAGAACATATTTGGTAATTACTATCATTCACAACCAACAACATCTAACGACTCTGTCAAGGTCAGTAATACTCTATATGATCATCAAGAATCTGCATGCAACAATAATAATTGGATGTCAACTGATGTTCCTATGGCTCTTGCTTCGAGGACTAGCACCATGGCGGTTTGCCACAGTGCGGCCCCCACTTTCACTATGTGGAATGACTCATAGACCTCTCATGATCATCACAAATCTTAGCTAGTAAGGGATCTATACATAACTAATCTCTAATCTTTTTTCTTTTTTTTTGGAAAATCAACTTTAGAAAGAGGGTTTTATTTTTTTGGTTTTTTTTTAAAAAAAATTTGGTTGGTATAATGAAAATGGTAATTTTGTTTATAGGATTTGAAGAATGAAGTTCATGTATAGTCTATGTTATTGGCTATAATTTTGGGAACTTCATTCTTATAGATCCTCGGAAAGTAAATGCTTTGTAATTTTGGATAATATAGTACAATGCAGATAATTAATTTATGGCAATTTTCTAACTGTTGTGTATGTATATTTTCTATATAATTAAGTAATAGTGTAGTTTCTTATTTTTTTTTATTGATTGTGTATGTATGTATATCATTGCTTGTTGATTCATTTGTCTTGTATCTTATTGTTTTGTTATCGTATGTTCTTGTTTTCGTACATCGATATCTTCACTTTTTTTAGTAGAGAGTTTTTTTGGAAATAATCTCCCTACCCCACAAAGATAAAGGTGAGATGCATGCATACATCGATCCTACACTACTCTTCAATATTCATACTCCACTAGTGAGAATATATTGAGTATATTTCTCTTCACATGACTTTACCGGCTAAAGAGATTCCTGATTTTATATTGCAGAAGAAATATCGTATTTGTTAATATATGAAAATTTATGCCAAGATTAATTTTTTACCTAATATCATTATCCAAATCTTTGAGGGGATATAATGGGATTAAAGTTCACATATAGCCAATTTTTAGTTCATGTAACTGAAATATTAATTGTATATTTCATTTGTAAAATTTGAAACTTGATTAACAATGGTTGTTTTTCAAACATAAGTTCGACGAGTGATCAATCAGTGGGAGCAATTTCTATAAATATGATTTTTTATGTTGGTTGAGGACTTGAGGTATATGTACGTATTTCTCATTTTGACGTTATCATTTAACTTCACAAGGTAGGGCCGTTAGGGTAAGGTTGTATACACACCACACTCTCCAGATCTTATTTATGAAATTCTATACATTGGATATATTGTTGACATTGTCATTTAACTTGTGTTCATTTTTGAAAGACTTTTCATATGTGTACTCACTTTGGAACAACATAATACATACGGTTTATGATGTTTCATAGTTGAAGTCAGTCATTTTTTGTAATCTAATTTCATTCATTTTTGTTTGAAGTTCATATATGGTTTGAAGTCAAGACAAAATGAGTCTAATCATTTTTATCTGAATTCATACATAAATACATGAATATGTAACTTCAAACATTTGATTTTTTCAAACCTAACTTTATATGAAATTTTTAAAAAGGTGAGTACAAATTAAATATTGATGTAGGCCCATTTCTCTGTCCATAGTAGATCCATTTCACTACTTTTATCCGACCCATTTCTCTGTCCATTGTAGGCCCATTAAGCCACATTTTGTTTGGGCCTATACTACCATGATCTGACCCATTTCTCTGTCCATAGTAAGCCCATTACTCTGCATTTCATTTGGGCCTATACTACTTTGATCCAGCCCATTTCTCATAGTAGGCCCATTTCATTTGAGCCTTAATAACTGAAAAAATTACCTAAATTACACAACTCATTTTACCATATTCTCTAAAATTCTCTACCATTTGAAAAAATTACAAAAATTTCTACTCTCTCCTATTCTCGAATACATCACTTTATGCAATGTATCGGTCGTATACATCACTTTATGTGATATATCCATTAGATACATCACTTTACGTGTTGTATCGGGACATTGAGTGATGTATTCTAAACCAAGACGTTATGTATCGGGATGTATCCGAAATCGGAACGTGGTGTATCGAGCTATTTTAGGATGTATCGGGATTTCACTAAACTTAAGGAATTTTGTAATTTGGAAAAGAGTAGGAATAGGATGTACTCCTTCAAGTTCTACTGCACCCTTCGGTCAAGTAAACCAAGCTCACCGAAAAAATGGAATTTTTTTACACCGATGTATCATACTCTCTCAACCAGGTCATCATAAGAAAATACGAAAAAATCTTTTCAAAGTAAGAGAAGGAAGGAAAACGTGCTACAACTAACATAACAGCTAGCTGTAAAACATTAGCTAGCTAGGTTAGCGCGCAATGACTGCTCTGATAGAGGCTTGCTTCTTTAAGCTCCGCCCAACCTATATAAGGTGTTGCTCGAGCCACTAGTGGCTTATGTAGTGGTTAGCATTCCTACGTGCTCCTCCTTGCCCCCCCCACCCCCCACCCCCCTCTACTTAAGAGCTCAAAGGTCACCTTTTGATGTTGTCGTGACACTTTGGTTACAAAGGTTACCGATCTAGGTTTTATGGATGGATTCAGTCAGCGAAAGTCCCTCCAACTCAATCATTATTAACAAGATGTACTAGCTCTTCTTTTTTTCTGACAACAGATATATTAACTCTTAACACTATGAGATTTGCATAAAATTTTCATTACTGTGATCCGACCCATTTCTTTGTCCATAGTAGGCCCATTACACTACTCTTCACTTGGCCCTATACTACCTTGACCCGACCCGACTTGACCCGTTTCTCTGTCAATTCTCCGATCTCTCTGTACCTTAGACCAACAAGAAGAAGGACCAAAGAAGAAGAAGAAGAAGAAAAGGAGAAATGGGTATTTTAAAACTATGTGTTTTCTCCTTAATCTTGCTGAAATTTCATTACATTTCAGCTGAATTCTTCAAAAGAGATGTAATAGAATTGGAAAAAGGACCGGAAGATGTAGCTTGGGTGGTTCAGTTATCTGATCTCCATTTCAGTGTTCATCATCCTGAACGTGCTCTTAGCTTCGAAAAAATTGTGGGTCCTTCTCTTTCTATGATCAATCCTTCATTAGTCTTCATTACTGGTGATCTTACTGGTAATAATCTACTTTTTTTTGCTCCAAAGTTTTGTTATATGATTGAATTTTTTTTTAATCTTACTTTCTATTGGGTTTGTGGGGTTCTTTGAAAAGAAGTTTTTGATGGTGGAAAATGGTTATGGAGGGATTTTAGTGGAAAATTAAGGAAAAGGGGAACTAAAAATGTGTTCTTTTTTGTTTCTTGGAATTGTTGGGTTGAGAAATTTGATTGGTGAGTTTCTTTAAGCTCAGATTTTGAAAAAATTGGATTTTGAAGTTGTGTTTGGACATGTATTTTACTTAGAAAATTTACAGTTTTGCGAGTGGAATCTAGTTATAATATGTGAAGTCGATCAGATTTCATGGTCAAACGGATATTTGAAGATAGATTTTCAAAATCTATAGTCGAACACTAGCTTATAAAACAACTTTGTTGATGCTGGAGAATGATGATGGAAGCATTTTAGTGGAAAATTAAGGGAAGGAGGTTTCAAAAATATGTTCTTATGTTTTCTTGAAACTATTGGGTTGGGAAAATGAGGTTGGTGGGATTTGATTGGGAGTTGGAGCGGACGTTAAAATGTTACTCAGTTTCTGGGAGAAAAAGATGGATCTTTATCAATGTGAAGTAAAGAAGAAAGAATATTGACTGAAAAATACAAAAAAGTAAAGAAACATAGTTGCTGCATGGTTCTTTTGTTGTTGAAGGACCACAGATTATCGCATTAGTGAAGGCTATACTCTATAGTGTCCATGTGATACTCAGTTTTACAAGGGAGTAATGTTTTCAAAATGTGACCATACATGACTATGGTGTAGTTGCAAAAGTAGCTTGGTTTTGTGTTATCTCCTTTGTATAGGGTACTATGTCAACTATCACACAAGGTAATTTTAGAATTTAAGATGAAGTTCTGCAACAGCTATATTTTAATTATTCTTGGTTCAAGTTTGATTCATAATTGAGATCAGTGACCACTGTTTAGAGTTTCTGAACTGTTGTTTAAGTTATATCTCTAATGTTTTCGTATCAATGTATTGCATTTCTACTGTAAAGTGGTTTTCCACAAGTTGATTGCTATACATACTTGAATAAAGTATTTGTCAAAGCTTAAGATATTTCAATGATCTTTGCTCGTACGACTGATAATTTCAATTGTCACCAGATGGAAAGAGCAAGGATTTACTAACAATGAAGCAAGATGAAGAGGAGTGGTTGGAATACCAGAAAGTCCTGGACAATGTCATTAAAAAGAGTGGACTGAAGAAAAATGTGTTTTATGATCTCCGAGGAAATCATGATATTTTTGGTGTACCAGCCATTGGTGGTTCATTTGATTTTTACTTGAAGTATAGCATTAATGGGCAGCTAAAACGAAGTGGACTGGTCAATAGTGTCACTATTCAGGTTTGTTATAGATCGTATCTGTTAGCTTCTTGTGTTCTATACACACTCTTTTTATTTATCATTCAAGCTGCCAGTAAGGTGCCTTTTAAAATGAGACTAATATGGAGGGGAAACCAAATGTTCAAAAGAGGCTTGGAAATTTTCTTAGACGAGGATAAAGGTAGTGTAAAATTGTAACATGGGCAATGAGGAAGAGGTAAAATCCATGTATGGAAGCATATCTGTCTATACGATATTTTTGAATTCTATTTTCGTATTTATCACAAATTATATAAAGAAAAATCTTAACAATCAAATGAGTTCTATTTTAAAAGTTTGAGGCAATTTCTTTTCTAGTTCTTTGATTCTGCATGTTGGAATCTTCTTGTTTCTTAATGTAACCATTATTAATGTATTTTTTCCAACAAAAAAAAAAGAAGAAAAAAACTTTATCGATGTAATTATTGGCAGTGTTATCATCATTTAGGCTAAGTTGCTCGGACTAGATAGTAGTACAATTCATTAAAGTTCTGACGTGCTGCCATATCTATATATATAGCATATTAAATTAGATAGTAGTACAATTCATTAAAGTTCTGACGTGCTGCCATATCTATATATATAGCATATTAAATTAGATAGTAGTACAATTCATTAAAGTTCTGACGTGCTGCCATATCTATATATATAGCATATTAAATTAGATAGTAGTACAATTCATTAAAGTTCTGTGTGCTGCCCTTTCTTCTCCCAAGAATGCCCTTTCTTCTCCCAATAAACCCTAGCCTGCTTTTTTCCTTTCCAAGAAAAAAAGCTTTCTCTCTGTTTTTCAAGAAAAAAAACTTTGAATTATTTATTCTTTCCCATGGAGCCCCTTCGCCTCCTCTGTACAAGAAAAAAGATCCGTCTGCTCTCTCTCTATTCTTGTAAGCTTTGCCTCTTCATTATTCTTTTCCATGGAGCACCTAGACGTGACAACTTCGTCGTCGTCAACTTTCGCTGGCCATGAAATTGATCTCTTCCCCATTTTTTTTCTCGGCTTTGGTCA